TTCCCACCAAATTACATTAAACTTGTGTTTATCCAATGTGCCATTCCTTAAAAAAAAATTGCATTAGCTTTTGTATATTGTTTTGATCCGAGCTCAAATATCATTAATGGGTAGGTTGGATGACAGACTTGATCAGAAATCAGTCTTCCACTCATTGATAAATATCTAGACAGACTTGATCAGAATCAGTATTCCATTCATTGATAAATACCTATTTTACATGAATCTGGCTTCCTATTTTCTCCCTCCTTGACCCCATCCATACTCTCTTCCTAGGTTTACCACCACATAAAGGTAGTCCAAGGTACTTACTAGACAACCTTCCGTTTCACATCTGAAGATTTAGCAAATTCCCTTAGTTCATTCTCCTCCACGCAGTTACTCCTGAACTCTAGTCTTTGACATATTGATGTGCAAGCCTGAGAGAACCTTAAAGCATCTGGGGAATAATCATAGGCTCTTCTTTTCCTGCTGGCCCTACAGATAGAAACCAAAAAGTAGTTTTGCTTCATACATTTGCAATGTACAGCTTAATGCCTCGCTAAAAAGAGAAGGGGACAACGGTTCCTCTTGTCTTAATCCCCGAGAACTTGGAAAACATCCCTTTGGTACTCCATTCATTATGCTGAGACAGGAGCGGTCGATAGACAGCCCAAACTCTAGCGTGCCCATTTTGCTAATGATTCAATCTAAAAAGGCCCAATCAGCATGATCATAGGCCTTCTTTAGATTAAGTTCATAAATCACCTGACTCCTTGGTTCTAGGCCTCGTGTGAACACATTCAGGTGCTACGAAAGTGCTCTCTTAGATTTGCTTATTCTCTATGAAGGATGACTGAGGAAGAGAGATTACCTGGTCTAATGCTTCTAGAATCAAGAGTCAAACTCTAATATCTTGTACATCAAGTAGGCTAATAGGCCATAGGTCCTTAATCTCCTTAACTCCTTCGGTATCAATGCAATGAAAGAGGCTGTCGTTGACTTGTTTACCCATCCTTTCTTGTTAGATTCATATAACATATATACAATATCAGACTTGAGCAATTGCCGAAACTCTTGGAACAGAGCCCCTGGAGCCCATCAGGCCTTGGGGCTGTATCCTAGTGAGTTGAATGGGAAATGGGAATATTAGGCTTCGAAAGGGAGCATCCACTGTCATTTCAGTAAGGGTTCACACACTCTGGGCAGCAGCATAACTAGTAGAAAACTAGAAGCTTTTCCGGTTTCAGATAACAATGCTGAGATGGCCATTTCAAGAACAAGTTTAGGGAGGATGAGATGGTCATGTCAAGCAAGTTTAAGGAAGTTGCCTGATTCGGTTACAGACTCGTCGATTTTAAACCCCAATCTGATCCCCTTAGAGAGCCCAGTCGCTTAGTCACAGGCAGCAACTGAGCTCGAAATCTTTCTCTCTCCTCAAATCAGCTAGCTTTGGTTGCGAAGACACCTTCACTAACGCGTATTTTGAAGCTCAAGTTCAATCCTGTTAATCCTTTTTTATTTTGCAAGAATTTGAATAAACCCCAAAAAAATTAAATATTGAAAATAGATTGAAATCTTCTTTTAAGGGTGTTTCTCTCTCTCTCTCTCTAAAAAATCTTAAAAGGGTTTTGGTTGGTCAGAATACCTCCGATATCCTTTTCAACATTTTTTGGGGCAGGGGTCATAATGATGTTCTTTGTCCCAGTGCAAGGGCTGATTTCAGCCCTTGGATAGGGGTACTGGAGGTGCCACCTTGGACCAAAGTGCTAGGCCACTGGATGTAGGACCAAGGGGGCTTAGCTCCTGTATGAGGGTGACACGCAAGGTGGGTGTTGAAAGAAAGGGTTTGGGTACAATTACGAATTCTAATAAAGTTAAGTATACAGGAGTTCCAAAGAGTTTTAGGTACCTACAAAGACTAGGATAATGGGGTTTTGGGCATTATGAAGGTTTCTTAATTGGGGTAGAATTGAATAATAAGATGCCTAAATGAAGAAGGATTCGGGTTAGTGCTATGGGGAAGGGTTTGTCAGGTTAGCGCAAAGTTTATGATGAGTTTCAAGGTTTCTAGAGGGGTTACAGTTACTGGATTTCTTGAGGTCCAGCAAGATATGGATAGGTATATGGTCAATGTCGCTTTTGAGTCAGTTGACCTATGGTATAGAGAGGTTTGGCTACAGTTTATAAAAATGTCTGAACAGGTGACGAATTTGGTTTTGGGGAAACCTTAGGTTGGGATGTACCACATAGGAAAAGGAAAGGAAGAGGGCTTAGCATGTTGGCGAGACTCTCGCAATCTAAAGCTAGATCTGTTGAGTCACTCTTTCTACAAAAAGAGTTTAGGAATCTTTCCTCTAAAGGTGGCCTTTCACAGCATTTGAGAATCTAACTTTTATTACTCAACTTGATTATGAATGGTCATAGGACTAAATGGGTATTTAGAGAGAGTTCCAATTTCTATTTGCCCTGTACTTGGGACTGTTGAAAGCATAAAAAACAAATTCCCAGAGGACTAAATGGGTATTTATAGAGAGTTCCAATTTCTATTTGCCCTGTACTTGGCACTGTTAAAAGCATAGAAAACAAATTCCTAAAGATTCTAGGAAACTATGCAACTCTAAGATTTCTAATCTAGTTATTATTGGAACCTTAGTTACTCAAGAAAACTAAAATTAAAATCGAATTACAAAATGGACTCATTAGTTTTTCCCTTAGGCGTTGAACAATGGTTTGAAGCTTGAAACATCTGAATTATGAGAAACACATAAAGATATGAGTCAAAGATCTTGAAGCCATTCGATTTAATCTTAGGATCACCCCAATTGGATATATGGTTGAAAAGTCGTGCCTTCAAGGTTTCCATTTACTGTCCCCTGATTGGAGAAAACTTGTCCTCAAGTTTTAAAGTGAGCTTGAATGTGTGCCACATTAAACCCATTGTCTTCTCCAAACCCTTTCTTCTTTACGGCTAAACGTTTGAATTGTAGCTCATTTGATAAGCATCTTAACTCTTTTGAGAACTCCTTGAGGGATGTATTAATTTGTGTTGATGGAGGAATCGAGACTCACCCATCCAATTCATTGGTTCTTGTATCTTAGTATCTTATTCCCATGTTCAAGATTATCTTCACAAAAGTGTTCATGTCCACAAATTCATGGTGGGTTGAGGCATTACTCATTCTCTTGAACTCAAGATCAACTTCTCCCACTCTCTTATCATTTGGTGTTTCATCATAAATATAGGATCTCATATTAAATTAATTGTGGGTGATTCAAATTCATGCTCTTAGAAGATGCCAATGTACAGATTTTTACCCATTTCTTAACACGCTCGATCAAGATCTTGCTGAAGGATGGCTGATGGCTTTAAAGCTCCATTTTGATCGACAACTTCTTTAATAGGAGCACCACTAGAGTTAAGGATGGAAAAGGGCTGGGTCTGCACTGGCCAAGGTTGGCACATGCCCGACACTAGCTTGAGCTAGGTGGCTAGCCTGGTGCTGTTAATGGGGTTGGGCTGGACCAGTAGATATTGCTTTCTTTTTAATTCATAAAAAAGGTTGGGCAGGGCTGATACCCATAACCTACGCCCAACCTGGACACTGAATCTAGATTTCTGGTGGAGCTTGGCCATAATGCCAGATTTAGTGGCCTAGGCCTGGGCTGTTTAGGGCCAATCTGATTGGCCCATTGCCACCATTAATTGTAGTTCTCTTTTGGAGTACCATTCTCTTCCTTTCTTACTTGACCATTGGAATTGTTTGTGGGCTGATTTATATTAGTTTTTTCTTTAAGCAATATATTAATAATTTCTCTGATGGTGTTCATTTGATCCACTAATTGCAATAAAAGCTTGTCCCTTTTGTACAAGGATAGATGAGAGCCATATGGACATCCCATTTGGATTGACATGACTGAACTCGAAGCAAGCTCCCAGGGAACAATTTGCTCTCATATCAAAAGTGATTTAGGACCAAGGGGGCTTGACTCCTACTCAAGTGTAACTTGGTCTGATGCCAAAACTGATGTAGGACCAAGGAACAACTTGAAGATTATTGCCTTATGTCTTCCAGTGCTTTTTTAAATGAAGGTTTAACTTAGTTATTGGGATCGTAAACAATGGTGGCTGTCTCGCTCTCCAGGACTGGGATTGCATCTCCCTACGATCCCATGTTTGGGGGAGCACAATCACACTCCAACAGGGATTGTTCAATGGCTGCGCACTCTTGTATTCCTTATATTTTTAATGGAAGGATGAAGTAAATTCATTGCCAACAAGAAAATAGAAGCAATAAAGGAAAGCAATAAATGGATATAAAAAAAAAAGGAAAGAAATATTATTCGAATTTATGCCCCATAAAATTTTCAAAGGGAAAGAGATTTTTACATCTGCATAGATCAAAAAGAGAAAGTTTCAAAATGCTCCTATTGTCGTATTAAATATAGGGAATAGTGGGTCCAACTATTGCCACATGTGGTTATGGAATTTTGACCAATATTTTTCCAAAACATATGTATACAATAGAGAGAATGATCTCTCTATCTCTCTCTCTAATGCTCTAATTTTATTTTTTAATTGAAATGACGGAGGTATGTAAAGAAAAGAGTAAGACATTTATATGATTTCACTGAAATATTACATTTACAACATAATATCAAATAAATGTCTTTAGTATAGTACTGTGAAGGACTCATATATGAAAGGACTCAAGCAAATAAATGTGAGTCATTACTCTGAAAATTTATTTTAGTAAATTTGTTTGTATGTAGAGTAACTCTATTTCTAACATATTGATTTCGCATCTAAATAATATTTAGAAAAATTATGAGTAATATTTTAGTTTTTAAATTTTCTTGATTTCCAATGTTTACTATATAAAAGCTTCCAAACTAGGGAAAAGCTTGCTCCCCTTCCAACAGCTATGATTTTCTTGATTTCCAATGGTTATTAATTTGTTTTCTATATCTAGGTTTGTGAAATTCATAATATTTCATTTTAATTAATCTTTTTTCTGCAGTTTTATGCTCGCCGCCATTTTCTGTTTACTCCGTTAAGTATTGATGAGTATAATGCTCGTGTGATGGCAATAGTACGCTGTGAGTCACAGGTATGTCCACTACTCCACTTGATGGATATTTAAGATGAAGTAACTATCGTTGAATTAGATGCATATTTTAAGAATTAGGGTTTCTAGTTTAGTTAGAAGTTTATAAATAGCAATTTAAGGCCTATTGCCAACAATTTCTTTCCCATCTTATGAACTGGATGTGGACTTGTTGCACCACTGCTCTGTGTGTGTTTAGGACTTTTATTTATTCTGTTGTTGGAGGAGGTTTTTGCCTCGGTTTGCCTTTGAGGAATCCTGTCTCTGACAGTAATTGGTGTTTTATTCATCTCAGCTTTCTTTTTAATGCGTGATGCTAGATTTCTCCTTATGTTTGATCAAGGCTATCATATGCATGATGTGGACTTGATGCGCTCGGGGTGTCCTAATCGCTATTTGCCTTACAATGCAGGTGCATTATTTATGATGAAGTCAAAATTGTAAAAATATGATACTACAAAGGATAACATGAATATTTGATTTATGTGATAGTCGGCAGTTTACTAGTTGTAGTTGTATCTGACTTGTTGATAGAGAGGAACAGAGAGTCAGAGACATGTTCTGTCTAAAGGCCAAATATTAAAATGTCTAATGTACTTCGTAAGTATGTAACATCAAAAGACCAAAAGTTCATGACATGAAAAATATGAAAGAAGATAACTATAGTCAACCATTGCCCAAATGCATCTCATCCTATATCTGCCACATCCGAGGCCGAGCCACCATCATTTGTGTCATTGCCCCATCTCATCCACATGTACTTCTTCGTCTTTAGTCTCCTCTGAGTGAGCCTTCTCCTCGATATTGGAATCGATGTAAATGTGGACCCAATTCTTCCTTTGTAGTGTAGTGTCAAGCCTATGGTCTTCGTCATCCCTTGAAACCCATTCAACATTTAACCAAGTCATGTATTCCCTTTTGAACAGTCAGTCTGATTGTGGATCCATGGGCTATTCGCTTGTGCCATCAAGTCATCCAAGACAAAATGGTCAATGTCAATACCTTTCTAGAACCTCTCCCTAAGGCATCCTTCATCTCGGCGTATACTAGGTCATTTAATCTTTTTGGCTCTAGCTTGTTCCTTCTTTTACTATGGAGCTGTGATCGAAAGAAAAACAAGCAAAGGAAAAAGGTTACTTAACCAGTGCTTAGTAGTTTTCTGCAAACTAAACTCTAAAAAATCTTGTAAAAAGAGACTTACATGCTCAATTGCGCTCTAGTCGTACTTGCAACCGGATGAACAATAAGTGGAGGTCAATACTTGAATAATGAGACATTGTAGATTTGTTGTATTGCTCCTGTAAGATTCCCACCTCTCAGCTGCACATTTTAATATTCAATACAAATAAAATAACTTAAAACAAAAAAAGTTGACAAATATTGTGTTTTCGTAATTCAAAGTACGCATATTCATAATTTGTACAATTTTGGTTGCTGGGCTGTGGGGTATCCCTATTCTGGGTTGTGATATCCCATCTAAAGTAGCCTAATACAAACTTAAATCTTGTCAACTTATGTAGTTTCTATGAAGTTATGCTCATGGATTTGGCTGTTTTAATGTTAGTTATAAACTACAAAGCTGTTCAACATATGCGGAGTACAATTGTCAATGTTTTACCATAATAATCTTTCTGTAATATGTTATCTTGTTCCTATTGTGTCTAATCTTGGATCCAATTTCCACCGCTTTTGTGTCAATAGATTCTTCTTAAAGAAATCCTAGTAATCGTTAATTGCTTTGTGTCAACACTTGCGAAGACTTCAAATTTTAGCTTGCTGAATTTGTGTTTTTTTCATTGTCATCTAATCCTATGTGAATTTAATCAAGGGAAAATATCTCCATATCCCTTATTTTTAAGTTTCATTTTTTGATAATCTATGGTTTCAAAAAATATCTTCCAACTCCCTGGCCACTTTAAACCTATTTTTTATCCTAAACAAATGTGAGAAAGACATGCTCTTTCTAAACCCAATCCTTTCTCTCTCTTCACTTATATCTCTCACTCTCTCTCCCCTCCCTTGTTTCTCCAAACACCTCCCTCTCTCTCCTCTTGGTAACCTCTCACCTCCATGAAGCCCTTCTCTCTCTCTAGAGGAGCCATGACCATGGCTGAAAGCCCTGCAATTGCCACTATCAAATAAAACTGGTACTAAAAAGGCAGAGGGTATAAACACCACTATCCGATAAAATTGAGCTGCCTGCTCCTCTGTCAAATAATAAGCTCCGGGAAAGAGGTCAAAGACCTGAGTTCCATTTTCTGGCATAACAGGAAGCTCCTGAAACCTACGATCATGGCAAAAAGGCCTCTCTCCATTTGCTGGAAAAACAATGTTTAGGCTAATAACTAAAGAGACCACAACACAGAGCCACAAGATCGTCACCATTACCATGACCACAGGTCTTTGTAATCGACGCCTTCGCTTCTTCTCTGAGGCTTTCATACTCGTGCTTTGGCATGAAAGCCTGGCACAAAGCGTCGCCTATAATTGCCATTGCAGATTTCTATTGTCTCTAAAAATTTCTAAGGTTTATAAAACAGAAATTGCAGAATCGCCATAAAAGGGTATAGATTTCTAGAGTTTCAGGGATTTGGGCATTGGCTATAGAAACACTGTCGCGAGTTCAAATCCCACCTCACCTACTCAAAAAGAAGAGATTCTAGGGTTTCCCAAATTTACAGCACTTAAGAAGGAGAATTTGCAGAAAAATTATGATAATCGCCATGTAAGTGCTTTAGATTTCGATGGTTTCTCCAATTACAAAGTCTGAACTTTTCAGGCTTCTTAAATTCTAGACTTCCCGAATATTTCTGGTGCTAATGAAGAAGAACTCATTACAATGAAAGAGCTCGATGTTTCAAGGGTTGAGCCTCGAAATTCTGAGGTTTCTCCTTTGCCAGGGATCCTAAAGCTCCGTTTGCAGAGCACCTCCGTACTCCAATGATCGCCATGAAAGACATCAGAGGTTTCCTAATTGCTAGTTTCCAATTGTATAATCTCTGACGGTGAGGATCCAGAGGTTGAGGAATGTAGGGTTTGTTTCAGGTCAGGGAGAGCTATGATGATCGAGTGTGATGAATGTTTAGGGGGTTTTCATCTCAGGTGTCTCAAGCTTCCATTGAAGGAGGTACCCGAAGGGGATTGGGTTTGTGGGTTTGTGAAGCTCGTAAAAATGAGGGGAGAGAGATGGGAAACATGAAGAGAGAGAGTGAGGGGTGAGAGATGGGAAAGACGGAGTGAGAGAAGGGTGCGGGGATAGAGAGAAAGAGAGAGAAGTTTGGGATGATGGCTTTTTTGACATATCTTTTTAGATTTGTTTGGCCTAAAAAAACAGGTTTAAATTAGCTCCGGAGGTTAAAAGAAATAAAATCTACAATTTTTATGCCCCAAGATATCTTTTAAAATCTTAGATCTATTGTGAAATGAAACTCAAAAACAAGGGATATGAAGATATTTTCCCTTTAATCAATTGCTATATACATGTCATTGTCCTTATGATTCAGTCCATCTTTTCTATTATATTCTCGATTGAGTATTTCCACTATTTTTCAACTTATGCATAACTGAGCTTAGCTTGCTTTCCTTTCATAATGGTTATGGTCCAATCTTGTGAACTCCATCTAATCCTTGAATTTTTTGTTCCTTGTGTATTTTGTTTCTTCAGGATATATTGCTCAAGTTGTTACTCGCAGATGGCAACTTATCTGAAGAGGAGAGGTTTAAACTTATTCACTGAATTATCTTTTAACTGTAGCATGTTGCACCTCGTTGTAGTTATACTTTATGTTTTGGGTATTTTTGTCAACCTGAATTCGTTAGTCCTTAATGAGCTTTCTCACAATGATATTTTTGTTCTTTTTTCCCCTTCAAGGAGAGACTTCCTTAATATAGACGAGTTATAGTTCAGGTTGAGTTCCTTTACCTGACAATAATGGAAAGTTTATTCTGTTCTCTGATACTTCTGTCTGTGGGTGTTTCTTAGTATAGTTATGTAGAAGACTTCTGAAAGTTTTGAAAAGCTGTTACCTAACCTTGGAAAAACCATGTCTTATTCTTTTCTATGCAGAGATGTCCTTCGTTGGGGAAGAAATATTGGATCAGGAAGAAGGCGGGGTATGAAGCGTGTTGGGGTTGCTGCTTACAATAGGGCGTCATCACTTGAGACTCTTGTAAGCATCATGTAAATTTGCATTCTAAAAAATTATTTATCTTTTTTATTGACTCTGTTGTTTTTCATATCTTGTGGTTCTTTATGTTAATCTTTCATCTCATTATAGCCTCTCATAATAATTTCTCTTTGCTACTTTGACTTTGACAATGTCTCACTTGTTGGGTTTTTCTAATACCAATGTGGACACTCATGTAGTTAGTGAAATAAAAGTGAGACACCTTTCACAAATGTGATGTCATAAGCTCTTAAAAGTAACCAATGATAGGAAGACACTATAAAGTCATTTTAGATCTAGGTTCTCATTGGTTTAAAGCTCCCAAAATTAAGGAAATTACCTTCAGTTTAAAAAAAAAATTGAGGCTCTCATTAAAATGTTAACGGTTCACACAAATCTCTACACTCACATGTGAGTGGGGATAAAGGTGGAGAAATCCAAGCCTCACATATATGATAGCTAGGTGTAGGCTAGGATCTTGCCTCTCTCCAAGCCCTTGATACTATTATTGAATGATCTATATTCAATCTAATTAAAGGTAAACTCAAAATACCCTAGCCTCTCTCTATAAGTACCTCTCATCCTTAAGCCCATGTTACTGCACTTAAGAGAGATAAAAGAAATCCCAACATGACCTTTCATGCATATCTATTACTACATTGACTAGATAAACTATGCATTAATTTGAGCCCCTTTTCTCGCCCTTTGACCTAGTTTTCTTTTGTTGTAAATTTCTGCTCTTTATGACCCATCACCCTTATAACAAGACAATTGCATTCTCATCATCTAAAAAGTTAGTTTTCACAACGGATCATAATACCAAAATTTCTCCTTAGATCCCATTGAGAATTGCATGTTCCATAGACCTATGCTCCACGGGCCACCATTTTTCACTTAGAAGAGCTTCATTTGATATCCTAGTGATCAATTGAGCTTTGCCTTTATAACATGCTTCCATTCAATTTGGATTGAGATTAGACTGCTTACATCTCGCCATCGAATTGAGTAATCAAAGGGATTGTACTAAAGATATTAATTGCCAAATTTGGTTATGAAAAAGATTTCCATGATCTAAAGATTGTGCACACTACTTTGGTATTGTTTATATAATTAGTATTGGGCCAATTTGATGTATTTAAATGGTTATGTAATTTATGTCATTGAAGTGTTCACGTTGGGGATGATTTAAACTTTATTTGTTTTTGTATGTAATTTTGTGGGATCATGATCAATCTTTTTGTGTTGTTTCGAGTGAAACTAGTGTGAGACTAATTTAGAGGATTGTATATTTATTTTGGGATGCCTTGATTGCCTATTTGTGAAAAAGGAAGTTGTATGTTGCTGTAATAAAAAACCACCCCAAAAGAGAAATACATAATCAAAACCACTCCAAAAGAGAAAATACAAGATTCTGAACCAGCCCCCAATTGATTCCACTCAAAAAAATACAAGGAGATTGACCATAGTCCCACAAAATTACATACATAAGTAGCTTACATTCAAACAATTCCTAACTACAACACTTGGATAACATAAATTCGATAACTATTGAATCATCAAATTGGCCCAATCTCAATCACATAAAGATCACCATAGTAGTGCATATAGTCTCTAGATCATAAAAACCAATTTTACACAACCAAGTTTGCCAATTAAGGTCTTAAACACAACCCCTTAGATAACTCAATCCGATAGCAAGAGCTGAATGGTCTAATCTTAATCCCAATTGAAAGAAAGCTTAATTCTCAAAAGTAAAACTCAAATAATTATCAAGAAACCAAATGAGATTTATGCTTGTAGAAATGGTGGCCCATGGAGCATAGTTTGGCCTTTGCAGCGTTGATTCTTAATAAGGTGCAAAGGGAAATTTGGGCATATTAGCCCCTTGTAAAAACTCACTTTTAGAATGATGGGGAGGCAATTATCTTACTGTTATATGGGTCACAAATGCAGTAATTTACATCAAAGAAAAACTAGGCCAAGAGGTGAGAAGAAGAGTGCAAATCAATGCATACTCAATCTAATCTATGTAGATGTGTATGAAGGGGAGAGCGGGGAGAGCTATTGAACCAAGAAATAGGGCTTAAGGAGCAAGTTACCTTTGCTGTAAAATGGTTGGGACATCAAGAGAACCATAGCCAATGTTCAAAGGCTTCTTTCCAAGCTCCCAGACCAACTATATACTTATGCTCAACGGTAGAAAAGAAAATGGAAGAAGAAAAGGCTCTATGTCTCTAAAGGGAGCATGTTGGGATGTATTTTTGTCTCTCTAAAGTCATCATTGTCAAAGCCTTTTCTCTACTAATTGGGGTCAGCTCTATGAATCTTGATCTACCATTTTGCTCTATTAAGGGTCATTACCATTAGTGAGGCCATAAGTCCCCAAAGCTTTTCTCACTACTTCCAACCATGTCCTTTTGAACCAACCACCAGAACCTGGGCAGCTGCCCAATTGAAAAAAAATAAAAAACATACCAAATTACCAATATACCATATTCCAAGTTGAAAAAAAAAAAAGATAAACGTCGAGAAGAGAATTTTGATAATCTATATTGTTAAAACAGTAAACTGTAAAACCATACAAGTGTAGGATATAAACTTCAACACTCAACGCAACAAAAATATATAGAAATTTAGAAAATATACAGTCTAACAAAAGTCATCACTCATGACTCAACGCAACTGTCAACAGACTCAACACTCAACACTCAGCACCAAGAGGCAAGAGTCTTCAATCATCGTCGTCATCATCTTCATCAGAGGGAATATCATTTTTACAACTAAGACAAATAGGTATGGGCTCAATCCTGACCCTGATGTAGACCTATTGTCACTGAAAAGTCACTCGTCTCTCCACTAGTTGTTCGTACACTAGTTAGTGCTCCATCATATATATCTCTCACGAAGTCGATGTAGTGTCTGGAGACTCCTTTCTTTTCTAACACCCATTAAATCAAATCGGATTTTCAGCCTAGACCGAAGTGAAATGAGGCCCGGTACAGCTTCAGGCCGCTCCGGTCCGATTCAACCGTTTTGACCGATCATTGGCCGAAGCTTCGGCCTCTTCGGCTCTTTTTGTGACATTTTTTTTATCTTGTCTTTTTATTTTCATTCCTTTTTATTATTTAACTTTTTATTGGGTTTTTTGAGGTGGAAATGGCTGTCAAATAGAAACTGGCGATTGCTGAATTTTTATGGTAAGTGTGCAGTATGCAGTTGTAGATGGCAAACCCAACACGTTTTCTCTCTCTGTAAGGCCATCTCTCTCTCTCTCTCTCTCTAGCACTCTTTGGAGGTTTTTGTAAGAGGTGGCCATTCAATGCTGAGCTTCTTGTTACTCATCAATCTCTAAGCACCTATGCCTCACACCTCTCAAAATACCCACATTCATACAATAAATATCTGAAGTACCTTTAAAATTTTGATACCCATCCACCTAGTGGACCATTTGAGTGATACCAAAAGTATCTAAAATACCTTTAAAATACCGAAGCAAAGGAATTTCTTTTTTTGTAAATTTTTATTTTATTTTTCATTATTTTAATATACCTATATATGAATATATACTGTATTTATATTAAATTTTTTAAAAAATCCAAACTCCTCCCCAGAATTGGCCAAAACACTGAATTACGTCATTTTTTTGACCAAACCGAAAAAGCCTCCAAAGCGAACCTGACAACATTGATACAAATTAAGTGGTGTGGTTGAAGGGGTGAGAGGTATTTATAGAGAGCGGCTAGGGTTTTAAGTTTAGCCTTAAGATGGATTAAATCTAGACCATTCATGTAGAATATCAAGGGCTTGGAGAGAAGCTTGATCCTAGCCTTCTAATCCACACCTAGTTATCATGATGTCTGGCTTGGATTTGTCCACCATTATCCCCGCATGCGAGAAATTACTCCAAATTCCCAAATGAATTTAATTCTAAAATGTAAGAAAAATACATTTTCTAAATTACCCTTGCCATTTTCAATGAAGTGTGAGAAAAAGCTTTATAAGGCCATGCCACTCAAGTCTACAAAAAATATTCTCTTGTCTAAGTTCAATATGGATTTGAAATTCAAAAGCTCTCTCTTGCCCTCAACACCTTACCCCCTCTCACACATGTGGCGTCATAAGCTTATAAAAAGAAGTGAGAAGGTGTTTGTGTTTCTAAAAGATTAAAAAGGAAAAGTGGCGCTGATTTTTCCTAGCAATGTTGTATTCCCTACCCTTGACTGTTAGATTTGGATTTTGGGGAAGAATTTTTCATGTTAGCAACTGTCTGAAGCTTATATGTTGAGCAATACAAACTTTTCAGCTTCATGATGCAGCTTTGCTTTGTTACATCATGTAGTTAGCTGACCTGAATCCAAGACTCCTGCTCTGAGATAAAAGGGCATTCTTCTCCAATTTTCCATGTCGACGTGCCTATGTGATGACATGTTAGAAAACCTATAATAGGAATGATCTTGTTTTGTGGATTTGTAAGAAATTGGGAATTAACTCAAGTTTCGTTTGAGAAAATGCTAATTGCTTCCATCTGATAAATGATATTGAGTTTCCTTCTTGGTTGCCGTGCTTGTAGATTGGTTATCTTTACTTGACCAACGTAGAACGATTAGAAGAAGTCATGCAGATGATGGGATTCTCAATGGGCACACGTGGAGAGATTATTTTAGAGAAAGTCCAGAGTAAATCATGTTGAGATGCTCATAGATTTCAATGGGATGAACAAAATTTTGTCCTTTGCACTTTTTTATATATTTACGGGAAAACCGCCTCTTCTACTTTTATTGCTCTTCTTGGTATGCAGGTATTTGTATATCAAGATGCCAGTCTGATGCTTCATGAAAATAGTATTTCTGTACATCCTGTGACACCTTGGTTGAGCTTATAATCACAAGAATGACACTTTCCATAACCATCATTTGAAAGTTTTGGATATCATTTGACTATTTGTTGCACCTTTATGTTTGAGGAACATAATCTAAAGTGGATGTGTTTGATTGCTGTTATTCTGTGTGCATATATAGAAAAGGGGGACATGAGCATCAGGTTTGGTCCTTATGAAGCATCCAGGCTGCTTGCCTTTGTTTTGTTATCTCAGTGTCACTCCCCTATATTCAGGACTACAGAAATCCTGGTTATGCAAAAAGGATGGAAAATATCATGTAGAGGCTCTACACTTTGTATGTTGCCTGAGGTCGCACTGTCATTTGTTCGATGATATAAGAAAGAGAACACACATAGTGTACTCCTCTAGGAGCATATATTGTACACTTGCTTTCTCAGGCACGAGACTGAATCTTAGGAAGATAATTTTTTCAGGCACCTATAGACTACGTATGTGGGTTTTTCTAATTTTTTTTCCCCAAATTTTGGTCACTAGGTTGAGGAGCTTATATTCCCAAAATTTGGGACTTCAAGGGGCTTAAAACCCTAAAATTTGGGGCTTCAAGGGGTCTTAAAACCCTTACAAAAACATTAAAAGGGTTAGATGATTTCAATTAACATTTGAAGAGTCACTTTTTCTTTTTCATTTCACTTAGGCATTTCCCCCAAAAAAAAAAAAATCCAAATTGCCTTTGTTCATGAATCAAAGGAAAATTAGTGGCAATTTAGTAATTTGATCTCAATATGCCCCAATCAAATGACAAAAATACCTCTAGTTTCTCATTACTGATAAGGAACACTGTTCAAGATCAATATTGTTGGTCAACCAAGGGTATTTTTGTTATTTGTTGCATATAAGGCATTTGGGTGTAAGTGACAAACTGTTCCTCATTATTTGTAATGACAAACAACTAGAGTTATTTGATTATTCGGTTGGAGGGTCAAATTACTAGAATCCCCTGGTTGTTCTTCCTTCCCAATTATGAACAATGGCAATTGGGGAATTTTTATTTTTTTGAAAAATTTATCAAATTACCCATGAGAGAAATAATTAAACATTTACTATTATCTTTTTAAGGAAAAGTGTACAAAGAGACCATTTAGGTTTTAGTATAAAGAGGTTATAATCATTTATGTCTCTCAAATTTTAGATTAGGTGGTTATAAGTGCATCGTTGATTAGGCACAAAGTTAAACAATCAAAAGTAAAAAATCTCGAACTTTGTCACACATTCTAAGCTATCTAATTTGATATCTAATAGTTAAATAGCTGGGTGTGATTTTGACTTCTTTGTAACAATGGTAAATGGTCTTATTTTATAGAATCCCATGCTCTCTCAAGTAAAAATTGTAAGACTATTTCTATGGGCATTACATATCATTTAATGGTTAATGGCTCAAATGATCATAATTAGTCACTTTTTCTTTTTGATTTCGCTGAAGTAGCTCCTCCAAAAAAAAAAAAAAGGGGAGAAATTTGACAAAATACCTTTAAGAGCTGAACTATTTAACAACTCTACCCCTTTGGAACTATTTTGACTCAATCCCGTGAGTTATTTTAAGGGTATTTTGATATTAAATCAAGGATTTTTTTTTTGAGGAGGTTCCTAAACGAAATGAAAAATAAAAAGTGACTAATTGTCATCATTTGACCTCTTAACCCCTTAAATGGTACTTAATGCCCGCAAGAATAGTCCTAGAATTTTTACTTGAGGGAGCATATGTCCTCGGAATCATCTGATCTTTTGGCTAAAGCAGGATAGCAAAGTGGAACTGTCTGACATTGTCCAAAGCAGATGAACATAAAGAGAAGTAAGGGTCTTACATTGTCCAAAACAGATGAACATGAAGAGAAGGAAGAAATGAACAAGAGAAGGAACAAAGATGAAACATAGAGCAACCTGATGAATGCAACAAAATTGGGTCAAGAACGAAGAAAAACGAAAAATTCAAGGTAAAAAAAAGATATAGCCTTGGTGGTCAGAAAGCTAGGGTTCACATTACATGCATTGAAAAAGAAAAAGAGAGAAACATAATTGAAGTGGAAAACGTTGCAGACCTCAGAAGACTAGAAGTACCTAGTCATATCCAAACAATTAAGAGAAATCAACGAACTGAATAAGGATCTTATAAAGCGACCTGTGTAGTCCACAGTATATTTAGTGCACATCACATGGGTTATCTACTGGGTGTTGAGGACTTCAACATGCTGAGGCTCAATCCAATTTGGTGGAACAGCTTCACTGCATGTGGGATCGAGCGACCTTTAGGTGAATACAATCTCTGGTTTTTGAAAAATAATTATTCATAGTCTCGAACACCATCAGCATGCCAGTTATGCACATTTTGGAACTATGGGTCAGTGACTTCTATTGGAGCTCCACTACATCACAGCAGCGTCCTACCATCATGCTTGGACTCTGCAACTGTTCTTAGCGTTGTTCTAGCTCTTTTTCCAATTTGTCCACAAGTTGGGCTTTGAGAATTTGGTTCCTGCTTGGTGTTGAGACCCGGAGTGAACACTAGATTATGGCAGTTTGTATAATATCCATCATCATCAATTGTAGTCACAATTTTTCTCGGCTTCTACTCTGATAATCAAAATTTGGGAGTTTTGAAACTAGTGTAGAACTGGAGAAATGTGAAAAACTTGATAATAACTTGTCAACAAATTAAAAAAAGCTCAAATTTTTTTAGTAGGGATCACAGAACAACAAATAACTATGGGCAATCCTAAATTACTAAATCATTTTTCTAACGCATTTAAGGGAAGTACTAACAAACATTACTTGTTATATAGAAATAAGTAATGACAGTTTTATATTTTCCCCAAAAATATTAACTAGAAACTTGATGTAATTATCAACAGACGGGATGATTCTTGTCATTTTTAAAACTCCTAAAAATATTAGCTAAAAAGTACGAAGAGTTTATTGGTTAATCATGACTAATATTGGTCGGGATATTACCTAAAAATGAGTGTGAAGTCTGAAAAATGAGTGAAACATTTAATAAGCTTTGACCTCATTAAAACTTGTGTTCTTTCTGTTACCTTTCTGGTCAAAAGAACAAAAACTGGGGAAAATCTCTGACCAACAATTAGGATTCCACACTTTATGCTATTGACTCATTAGAACAACTTGTAAAACAAATGCCATGTCTGTGACAATTTTGTCTATCTTTTCATCAGATGGTGATGACCACAATGGATTATGGTGTTCCACAGACCAATTGTGCATAGTATATTTCGTTTTGACCAAGTATTAGAGCATACTTTTCTACTTACATGTTTCTTTAGTTGATTATTAATCTCTTTAATAGAGAGATTAGTGCTCATCCATATCTTCTTTGTAGTCAGGCTGATGCTCCTGAGCATAGTCACGAATTTTCATAGGCCGTGATTGTTTTTTTTTCTTTGAAAAAAACAAAAAAACATGAAACTAGTTTTAATCAAATTATGGGGCAAATCTGAGTACTTTCAAGCCAAACATGAAACCAGTTTTAGTTTCATTTAGTAGTAAAAATTTGGGAATTGGAAAGCACTCTCCGATCCATGTGACCATGAAAAATCTTGTGAGGGTCATCATCATCCAATCAATAGATGAATGGTGATAAGAACAGTATAACCCGCCAAGAGATGATGTCATCAAAGTGGTAGTTCCCACTCTCTCTTCCATCACTCCCCATCCATCGAAAGGGTGATAACACATTTTATGACCATAAATTGCCTATGATCATATGAATCATAACATAAATATTGCAAGTATATACTAGTAATGGAATGTATATCATGCACCAAACTGTTTGGTATATGGTAACAAATAAATGTTGGTGCTCAACTCTATAATCATGCATATTTATCATGAACTACGGTTGATCTCCATCCTTCTTATGGGACGCACCATGCAATACCCTTGCAATGTACCATAGATTTTCCACAATTACTGAATGATGTGCTATCTTTGCACATAATTAAGATTTCTCAAAAGATTTTCATATGCAAGTAGCCTATTATGTCCCCCCAAAATGTTTTTAACGGTTTATAAATGATAGTTTTTATAGCTTGAACAACACAATTTTTTGGCGTTCATTTTTTAGCACTTATGGCTTGATTGGTTCCTGGAAATTAATTGGGGGTGGCAATGGACCCTGACCCGACAGGTAAGCCCACCCCGAGTCCGTGTCCATGTAGACCTGACTAGGTCCCGACCTGAATAGTGTTGATATTAAAGAATATTTAATATATAATAGTTAAATAAATATAATTATATTTAGAGCTATAATATTTAAAGGGAAATGACTTTGTGAGACCCTCCCACACCCATGTGCATAAGACCCCTAAGGATCACCATTAAATTTGGCACAGATCTTTAGAAAGTTATCACATGGGTGTGGGACTTGACTTTTCTAGAGATCTGTGCCAAATTTAATGGTGATCCTTTGGGTTCTACACATATGGGTGTGGGAGGGTCTCATAGGATCATTACTCATATTTAAATAACGAAAAAGTTTATATAAGGTTGCAACCCTAAAATGTATAATTACAGATGCACCTTAAAAATCCATTGGAAAATGTTGTTTTGATGTTTAAAAACCCTCTAATTGACCATCTCAACAACGAGATGTATGCATATGAAAAAAAAAAAAAAATTTTTTGAGTCCTAGAAATAGTGGCTTCTTGCAACACATTATCTAGACCGTCATTTTCAAGATTTTCATATGTTTCTAGATCTACTTGATTTTAACCATTTTTTTAGTTTAAAATTTTATAATTAGATATGAAAATCGATTTTGAGATAATCTTCATATTTTTTTACACCAAAATTGAATGTTATGATAAAATTTGGAGGTGCGCCTTAATTGGACTGTTTAAGGTTGCAACCTTATAGAAACCACACCCTTTAAATAATGTATGTATATATATTTAACAAATTTATAAAATATATTTAAATATATAGATGTATTGATTTTTGGGTTGGGTCTGAGGTCGGGTCCCATAATATTCTTTTGGGTCCGGGTGCTGAGTCTACGTCCCACATTATATTTTCTGGCCTAGGTCTAGGTCTAGTGACTTCAGGTCTGGGTCCGGCCCGTGGCCACCCCTAAAAATAATTTCCCAAATATTCTTTCCTGGAAATGTGAACCTCTAAAGGTTTTCAATGATTGATGTCCACAATGGGATTTAACCAGACACTTTTATGTATAAGAAGAATAATTGTGTTTAACCAGGCACTTTTATGTAGTGGTGGTGGCGAAGTTTACAGTTAAAAATCATATTTGGTTTAAAGTACTTTTGGCTAAATATGAGATAGATAGATTCCGAATTTGGTTGGGTAATGGACATGAGAGGGAGGTATCACAGGTTTGGAAGGCGATCTACACATGTAGGCTGATTGTTTCGGGATATTCAAGGTGGAATGTTGGTCATGGTAGTCAAGTATCTTTATTGCACCATAAATGCATAGGGGAGTACCATTTGAAAGTAGCATTTCCTGACCTTTATGGATTGGTTTCCCAGCCCAATTTGATAGTTAGTAATGCTCTGGAAAGAAGGGGTACACAAAATTCGTGGAATATTTCTCTGTCTTATGGCCGGTTGAGCAATGCCCTTCTTTTCCAATGGTGTGCTTTAATGGAAACTTTGCTTAAAGCTTATGGTGCGGTTAATGTAGAGGATGAAATTATTTGGGAGATCGAAAGTGATGGGATGTTCTCTGTTAAATCATGTTACAACCTCCTGTTTCACGATAGGCTAAGATGGTTTAATCCAAAAGTAGCACAAATTTGAAAGTGGCCTATCCCGCATAAGGTGCAAGTTTGTATTTGGCTTACATCTCTGAATAAGATTTTAACCATTGACAACTTGATAAAAAGGGGGAAAATCTTACTCAATGTCTGTTTACTATGTAAAGTTGATGGGAAGTCAGGTGCACACTTGCTTATTCACTGTTCCTTTACTACACGAATTTTGAACTGGTTGTTTGGCACTTTTGGGGTTCATATGGTGCTTACTCAATCTGTTGAAGGGATTGTTTATGAATTTTCTATCGCCCATTTGCCTGCGATAGGTAAATCAATTTGGAAAATCTCTAAAAGTGTCATCCTTTGGGAAATATGATGAATAGAAGAACTTTTGAAGGTAACTCCCTACCTTTTGAGAAACTTTTAACAAACATCAAGCACTCGATTTGGTTATGGTTGTCTGTGACAAAAGAAGGGTAAGGGATTCCAAACCCTAGCAACCTCTTTCCCCTTGGGTGTGCTCGTAGTAGACCACGATGTTTTTGGATTGCTCCTTCTGCTGGATGTATTAAGCTTAACTTTGAAGGGAGTCCTCTGGGAAACCCAAAGATTGCTGGAATTGGTGGTGTAGTGCGTGATTCCTTGGGTTCTATAATTCTCTCCTTTGCTGGTCCGATTGCGGTCAAAACAGCAAATTATGCTGAATTAAATGCTCTTTGGTGTGGGGTGAAAATTTTGTTTAAGAAGAGTCTAAGAACGAATGTTTGGGTTGAAGGGGATTCTTTGAATGTGATTAGGTGATGCAAAAAAGAACAATGGGTTCCATAGGAGCTCCGTTCTCTTTGGTTGCAAATCATGGACCTGGTCGAACATTTTACATTTTTCTTCGCTTTTGAACTCCTCTAATGTAATATCTTTTAATTAGTCATCAATAAAAGTTTTAAACATTTGTCAAAAACAAAAAAAAAGAACATGACCACAATGGTGAAAAAATCTTCCCATCATCCCCATTTTTACCTTATTTTTGAGAGAAAGATCGTCCAACTTAATTAAGTGAAAACTTTATTCCCCAAAAATGTGTCTTCTTCACCCAATCATATATCTCTCTTTGAATCGTATATCTCTCTCATTGCCGCGAATTCTCAATCATCTCTCTCCCCTGTACCCTCTCTCTCCCGCGAATCCTTAATCATCTCTCTCTTTGGAATTTTGAAGAATTGTTTTTCAGATAGCTAAATAGGCCCTAAGGTGTACTTATCTCGGAATAAAATGAAGGACATGGAAGCACTTAATAGAAGGAAAAGAAAAATCAGTGGAAGGGAACATTGCTAGCTTTAAGCTCGGAGGTCCTGCAAGATTGAATTGTACACATTGTTCCACACCCAAATACATAGCTGGAATTGTGTGACCTAAAACTTTTTGAGAAATTTGGATGCGCCCTAAAATCAATTTAAAAAATATTAAAAATATAATTTTCAGCTTAAAAAATAAAGGCCTTCATTAAATTAAGGTTTAAAAAAACGGTTCGGTGATTTAGATCGGTCACCTCAAAAACCATGTTGGATCGGTATATTAGTGATCTGGATCGGAGAATCAGTCGGTCTCAGCAAAAAAAAAAAGTCAAAAAATCATTATAATTTCTCAAAAATCTAGTTTTTTAGGTTTCTAAAAGAAATAATAGCAATTGCATTATGGTTTTTTCATTAGGGATTGTATACAATGAGACCATTTACCTTTGATACAAGGTGGTCACAATTACTTACGACCATCATATATGAAATTTGATAGCTTGGATGTGCCACAAAGTTTGAGAAAAATCCTTTTGAAGTTTGAGCTTGGTCAATGGAATAATTGCAGCCACCCGATTTGACGTCCAATGGTTAAGATTAATATGACCACATTGTATCAAAGGTAAATGGTCTCATTCTACACTTTCAATTTTCATTATTGTGTTAAAAATATGTAAATACTAAGAACCTCTCTCATGTTGAATATTTTATGCTTATTAAATTCATTTTATAGTCAAAATAAAGTTTAAAATGTAATATAATAATAAAATGAATCTCTCTAATTCAATTTTTGGTATTAACTAGGGAGTTTTCTGAAAGAAGCTATATGAAACAAATTTAGTGGAAGCAATTGTTTATAAAGAGAGAGATACTTTTAGTAGAATTGATTGTTTGTAGAGAGAAATAATGCCAATGGGGGAGAGAGAGGTTGTTAGGAGATAAGGTTGTTGGTAGAGAAAGAGAAAGAGAGAAGAGAGAGACACTAAGGTTGGTGGGGAGTGAGAGGGGGTAGAGAGAGAAAGGCAAGCTCTTTATGCTTCCCCTCCGGTATAAAACTTATATACTTCCCCATATCTAATCGTCCAGTTTGAGTGGAGGGCTAAGATTGTCCCAATCACAATGTCACTACACTATTTTATTTTTAATTTTTTTTTCTATAAACTATTTTGACACCAAAGTTTGGACATCCAATCCTCTATTAAACTCGCACTAGCGAAAAATGTTAAAAAACTATTTTCAATAAAATAAAATATTCAAATTACCTTTGAAAGCTTCAAGGGGTATTTTGGTCATTATATTTTATCAAAAACTAATTTTTAATATTTTTTATCGGTGTGCCCCAATGAGAAGATAATACGTACCAAATTTCATATTCATACAATTTGTATTTAAAAAACTAAATATAAAATATTTTGAGATGTCGGATCTAAGATCAAATAGTGAGTGACTCTCTTTATCAAAATTGAACGGCTAGATGGTAGGGAAAACATAGATCTTCTATGTTATAGGTGAGGTATAAAAACCTTTACCGGAAAGAGTAACTCGAAGTTTTCGTATAAAAATTTTGGCCACAAAGTTTCTTTCGTGTGGTCGTGAAGAAATGGGACAGATTGAATGAAGCCACACATGAGTTGTTGAGTGTGTGCACACATATCAGCGCCTGTGGCGTACGATTGGTTGACGAGACTCATATAAAGGTGACGTCACTCTTTGAGACAAAAAGTACGGATCAAGGCTACTACCCATTGTTTAAATTTTTATTTTAAGAGTGCACTTATAAATAATTTTTTTAAAAATTTGCACGTACTCAAGTTTTGTCATTCAAACCGGTTTAGGTCAGAACCGACCATTTCGAGTTTGACAACCAATTTTTGATAGAATTGATCAATTTTGTCTGACTGGTTCAAGGGGAGACCCGCTTGGTTCCCACCATATGGCGGGAACCGTACCACCATAGACGATTTTCAATCAACACCGGACCATTCCAATTAGAATCATTGAATATTCAAACCTTGATCTAAAATTCTAAATGGACAATCTCTTTGTTGAACATTAACTCTAAATTAAGTCCCTTGATTTCGACCACTCATAAACTCCAAATCCCTTTTTTTTTATAGGCTGGAATTGATTAGGCATGATCCAAGGGTTGCAGGTCCATCAAATCCCCTTTACATTTTTATCCGCACGACCACTTGAACAATTTGGTCCGGATGTACAACACACGAGTTACATTTTCGCGTGCAATTTTGGAGAAGGTACGCACTAAAGCCCTGGAGTACGAGAGAAACATCGGCCCATCACCATCCGATCAATTGATGCCTCTGACCTACGGAAAATGGGTATGGATTGTGATTTTCTATAGTCCCGGTTTGATAAATCGGAAAAACAACTCCCAATCCCTCGAGAAATTAGTACGGACTTTGGGCCCACTACTGCTGAGGTGGCATCACCACGCGACCGCCGCTTATCCAAGCCAAAGGACGTGCAGTCTCTGAAGCCTCAACCTGCACTCACCCTCTCCAATGACCTCTCTCTCTCTCTCTCGAGACTCACGATTCCAGTTTTGAGTGAAATTAAACTCAAAATTCTCGAGACTCACAATTCCAGTTTTGAGTGAAATTAAACTCAACCTTGTTCTTCGCTGAAAATCTCTCTCTCCACTGCAACTGTTACATTTCCCTGAAAGCACACACTCTTGCTAGACACATTCCCATTCCCATTCCCATGTCTTGTTCTTTTTCTGTGCATCCCTTGTGGTCAACATGTCCTCTTAAAAGGCTTGGCAATGGAGAAACTAAGAGGATTACATTGAGAGGAAACAATCCTACTACTGCTACTACTGTGTTATGTGCCACCAAAAACAAGGAAGAATCATCATCATCAACATGGGGCAGTAGTTCCTGGGTGAGCCCTGATTGGCTAACCTCCTTGGTTCGGCTCGGGGCGAGGCGGCTCGACGATGGTATCCCCCTTGTCGATGCGAAGCTTGAGGATGTCTCGGAGCTGCTGGGAGGGGCCCTCTTTCTTCCCCTCTTCAAGTGGATGAAAGAGTATGGACCCATTTATAGGCTTGCTGCTGGGCCCCGCGACTTTGTTGTCGTTAGCGACCCCACCATGGCGAAGCACGTCCTGAGGAATTACGGCAAGTATGCCAAGGGTCTAGTGTCTGAAGTCTCTGAGTTTCTCTTTGGCTCCGGTTTTGCCATTGCCGAGGCCCCTCTCTGGACGGTAAGTACAATGGATGCCAATGGCAATGCCGTGCCCCTTTTATTTTCAATTTTTATTTCTAATGCTTGTTTCTTCTCCTTGTGATTCATTCATTTTCCCCAATTGTGTGGCCATGTTTTAGTCCATCTCTCACTATTTCGTAGTGTTTATAATGAGAAGCTGACAGGTATGTTGTGAAATACAAAGTTTTGCAATTGCCTGTTCCTATCTTTAATCAATATTGTTATGCTTCATATGTGTTAATGACTCTTCTGAAATGATTATGGAATTCATTCATATAGTTTCAATGAAATGCGGAGCTAATACATTCTGATTCTGCTTTAAGGCTGAACCAAAGATGCTTTAATTCTGAATTCTGATGCATTGAGTGCAATTCATAGGTTTGGGGGCCTATACTGTGATCTTTAAAATAATGCTAGTTGGATTTCAGTGCAATCGAAAGTTGGATTTCAGGAAATTTTCATATTGAGAACTTTCTTTCATTTTAATTCCGTTGCTATACTTCTTTATTGAGTTCCATATAAACTTTTCTCATTGGTTACAGGTCAGGCGCAGGGCTGTGGTTCCCTCTCTCCACAAAAAGTATTTATCAGTAATTGTTGACAAAGTATTTTGCACGTGTGCTGAGAGATTACTGGAAAACCTAAAATCAGATGCTAAAATTGGTGCTTCTGTCAACATGGAGGAAAAGTTTTCTCAACTTACGTTGGATGTTATAGGTTTGTCCTTGTTCAATTACAACTTCGATTCGCTGACTTCAGACAGTCCGGTTATTGATGCAGTTTATACTGCCTTGAAAGAGGCAGAGGCTCGTTCTACTGATATTTTTCCTTATTGGAAGGCAGGTTTTTGACTGAATTCCGTTCTTTTTCTACTGCTGCTTCTATTTTCTATTCTATGTATCATTTTAGTTATTTTAACCTGAACTCTTGTTGCTGCTGGAGAATGAAGAATCAATACACTGTACGTTGTGAAGTAAAATGTTAGTAACCATCTTAATGTTTAGCCATTATCTTCCTTTCCATCTATCATTGGTTTGCCCTGCATGTTGTGGCAGCTTTTTATTTTTCAGTTTATGTGTGAGAGATTTGTGTTAGAAAAAGCAAAAGGGCTAAATAACCACAGACTTAAGAACCTGGTAACTTACCACCAATGACAAACAACTATGCTTCATGAGACCGGTAGAAACCATATCTAGCCCCATTGCAATTCCTTCCCGCTACAAGAAGCATCGGACTTCTTGACTGGCCCCCTTTTTTTTTTGAATCAATGCATATGTTTTTAGTTAAATTGCAGAGTTCTGCTTACTAAAAGTGTGATCTCCAGCTCAGCTGATAAGTTTTCAGGGCTGGGTCGCGCAGCAGGAGTATGCAAAACCGGCAAGCAGCTAGAAACATTGCTGCTAGTTCAACCAAGGCCTTTGATTCCATCTGTGAGTACTGTAGAGCCTGTCGTAACCACTTAGAAAGTGGTTGTGTAAGCTCTAATAGCTTTCTGGCTTCCAAAGTATAATCATTAAGCTCAGAGACAGACAGAGCCATTGTTCCTAATTATATTTTAATTTTGATTCAGGAGAACTATCCTATATCACTATCGGTTCATGCTAACGGAGCTCTTCACTGTGCTTCTATTGCCAGAAAGCACAGCGTGCAGCCAATTCAACTTATAATTCAACAATGACACAGAGCAATGCGAATTCAGAATTCACCTTTGTCTCAACTTTAGGGCAACAAGCGACAGCTGCAAAAGTTTCCCTATTATGTTTCACCTTAAAATTATTTAGGGACATTGGTGAGCTTATCCTCTTGCCAACCAAGCAGTTAAGCTCCCACATCATACAACTGGGATCAGGATTTTATCAGAACTGCGATTGGTATCTGGAACCCGGGATTGTGACAAGCAAAAAGCTTCTTTTGATAAGGATCACAGTTCACACGCCCTGAAATTTGGGGATCTTGATCCCTAAATGTGGGAAGCTTTATCCAAAATTAACAGGAACAGAATGAGATATTAGACAGGACTAAGCTCCATTTAGTTAAAAATCGATGCCCTCGAGAGCATTGAACTAGTATACTACTAGTAGTATAGCATATTCTACTTTAATACCTGTTTTACGGTACTATACTGCTACACTACAGTACAATACTACAACACTACGCTATATGCTACATGCTATATTATATGCTACTATATGTAAATTTAATATATACAACTATACACACATGCGCGTGCGCACACACTCACTAATTAAGCTCAGTCCTAGGAGGGGGGACTGGATCCAATTTCAGCTAGATTTATGCCTAAGGAATCAAAACCAAGCTTTTCGGAATGAATACATCTGAGGGAACTTTGGGGTAACTCCAATAGGTGATAAAATGAGAGAAAGTAGAATTAGGTGGTTTAGCCATGTGTAGCGTTAACTTAGAGGAGGGATGATTTGATTCAAGTGGAAGGCACTAAAAGGGTAAGGTGAATCCCAAAAGGATATGGATAGAAGTAGTGAGAAGAGATATGGTAACTTATGGTCTTACTGAGGGTAGGAGAATTTTGGAGAGGACATGAAAAAGAGAATGGATTTAACTAAAAACATTTTTTTTTCCTGTTTTTTTTTCCCCTTTCTCCCCCCCACCCCCTTTTCCTTTTTTTTTTTGGGATGAGGAATTGGCTTTTGGGCCAATTAAAGTTCTCGGAGAAGAGGAGTGAGAAAGAGGGATAATATGGTATAGAGAGGAGAGAGTAACGGCAAAAGAGATAAGAGGATAGAGAGAGGTGTTAGGGATGGGCATTGCACCTTGGCCTTGATTAGCTCCTTCTTTTGCTAGGTGGTCAGCTGCTGAGTTGGCCTCTCAGAAGATTAGTTTGAAGGTAACCTGTGGCAATGTGCTGCACAGAAAGTCGATGTGTTAAAAAATGGAGTGCCCAATGAATTCCAATGAATTGTGCTGCATAAGTGGAATCCTGGATTCCAATGAATTCAGAAAATGTCCATAGGGTTGCATATGGATCAGCAAGCTGCCCTCCTATACCTGCAGGGCCTGGGTTTCCAAAGGAGGAACTGTTTATGTCAAGTTTCAAGAAACCTGGTGGTGGGGGGGCCCAAATGGGACTAGGTCTATTGTTGTGGGGGGGGTAGCTTAAGAAGGCGCTCCCAGTTTGTCAGGAAGTGACTGATTGGGATGGCAGCAAAGGTTGGTATTGTTTTGGCCCAAAGGGAAATTAGGATAGAAATGGTCTCCAAGATCGCTTGTTGGCTTCTAAGGGTCTTCAAAGATTCTCGCATTCCGCTCAAGCCACAAGCTCCATAACAGAGCTACTACAGAGAGATGCTGCAGTTTTTTCCCATGTTTTGAGAATGGGGGGAAGAAGAAGGATTCAAAGAGGTTCAAGTGGGTGGGGGCAGTTAGCCATTGGAGGTCAAAGAGCTTGAGAAGGGATGCCCATAAACCAAGGGAGATGTCACAATGGATGAAAAGAAGAACAATATTTTCCTATTCCTGCATACAAAGAGTACACTTATTTGGAAGAGAAACCCCTCTATGCTGAAGTTGATCCAAGGTAGGAGTTTTGCCCTGGAGGAGTATCCAAATCAAACCTTGAATTTTGTGAGCGATAGGCAAGGACCAAGTTTTGTTAAGAGGGGATGGGGGTTCAAGTCAGGTAGGAGAGAGTTATAGAAGGAGGAGACTGAGAAGTTTCCAGATGGGTTTGGAGACCAGATGAGGGTATCTTGTCGCAGGAGGGGGCTAAAGATGGGTGCAAGAGCTTGGAGAGGGGAGGTGAGGGAGATAAATTCCTGTTCTGAGAGGTTTCTTATAAAGGTTGGGTCCAAACGGGGCCAGAGCCACTGAATTGCACATAGTTTGAAACAAGTGCAGCTTGGTTTGTTGCAAGTAGGAAGAGCAAGCTGAAGGATATCCTAAGAGGGGAGTGACCAATCCAGAAATCAGTCCAGAACTTGATGCGAAGCCCATTCCCTAACCTAAATCTGGAGCGATTAAGGCATGCAGTTTTGGTTGAGGAAATGCTTTTCCAAGCTCTCAAGGAAGTATGAGGGGGGGGGGGGATCTGGGCAACCAGTCATCAGTACCCATGCCATATTTAGAGTTGATAACTTGTTTTCATAAGAGGGGATGAGGTGAAGCGAACTTCCACCACCAATTTCCCAAGAGGGCAAGATTCATGGTTCTAAGATTCTTTATTCCTAGGCCACCAAATTTTTTTGGAACACAAACCTTTTCCTAGGTGACCAAATGGTACTTGTGGTATCCATCGACTCCAGACCAAAGGAAAACTCTCATAAGATTTTCCAGGCATTTTATAACCGAGATTGGGATTTGGAACAGGGACATAGAGTAGATGGGGGATACTGGCAAGGGTGGCTCTGATTAAAGTGATTCTGCCCCCAAAGGATAAGAAACGACCCTTCCAAGAGGCAAACTTCTGAGTAAACCTTTCTATCAGGTTGTCCCGTAGATATTTTCTAGGTTTTCCTATGCAAAGGGGCAGACCTAGGAAAGAAGAGGGGAGGGATTATGTGGAACATCATAGGCGGAATGCTAGACTCTGAAGTTCTGAATTGTCGACCAGTACCCCTAGCATTTTGGTTTTGGCAAGATTAACTTTAATTCCAGTAAGGAGCTTGAAAGTTCTAAGGAACCACCATAAGCAGTCTACCTGGTAAGGATTTGCACAAAATATGAGGGTATTATTAGCATTAAGGAGGTGTGAAATTTCTGGTCTTGTAGGGAGAGGACCTAAACCCTAAGAGAAGACACCTATCATACAATATGGAGATGGTTCTGGAGAACAACTCACCAATAAGTGTGAAAAGGAAAGGAGAGAGGGCTTCACCTTGTCTGAGACCTCTTTCAGCTTAGAAGAATCCTTCTGGGGAGCCATTAAGGAGAATAGAGAAGGAAGGAGTTGATATATAGGCTCGAATCCAATCTCCAGCGAGGGCTGAAGCCTATACGACTCTGGACAGAGTCTAAGATTACACAGTCTACTCTGTCGTGGGTCTTTTCCCAACTTAATTTTATTATGATACCTTTCTAGCCCAAAATAGACCTAGAGTGGATGACCTCATGAGCTGTTAGGGCTCCATCTAGGATTTTTCTATTGGACACAAAGGTCGATTGGGTTGAGGAGATGACTGATGTCAGAACCTCCTGAAGACGGGAGGCAAGAGTTTTAGCGAGGATTATGTATGAGGAGTTGAGAAGGCTAATAGGGCAGATGTCCTTCTTTTCTATTTGCACCTTCTACTTTGGGGACAAGGACAATGAAGGCACAATTTAAGGCTGAATTGAGTCTGCCTCTGAGGAAGAACTCTTCAAAGAAGGCTAAGAGGTCTGTAGCTGTTGTGTCCCAGAAGTTTTGGAAGATTACTACTTGGAATCCATCTGAACTAGGAGCTTTGTCCTTGGGAAGATCAAATACAGCTCTACAGATTTCCTCAATGGAGAAAAGCCTAACTAGGCTTTGAGATGCTTCTTCGGAAATAGTTTGAAAGGTGAGGTTCCCCAAAGCAGAGCGAGGATAAGAAGGCTTAAAAAAGAGATTTTGGAAGTATCTAATGAAGATGAGCTTAATTTCTGTTGGTTGAGAGAAAAAGTTGGTGCCTACTAAGACCTGGGTAATGGAATTCCCCCCAAGTCTAGAGTTAGCAGTCTTGTGGAAGAACCTAGTGTTTTTGTCCCCCTCTTTGAGCCATTTGATTATAGAATGTTGAAACCAATATGTTTCTTCCTGCTTTAGAACTTGGGCTAGGTTTGCTTTTGTGATGACCCTAAGTATTTTTGGATCTGAAAAATAATAAAAATAATACTAAAAAAAATATAA